ATTTTTTTAAAAGTTAACTTGGCTTACTCAGAGAGCCTTCTTTTTAAAAAAAAAAAAAGGAATACATTCTATATCACAACCTAGGACATACAGACATACAGAAATAACATGAACAAAATACTTGTAACATGCAGCATACTCTATTTTCAATTCTGTTCATCTTTTTATTTATTTATTTTTTATAGCAAAAGGTGGAAATTTATTGAGAAACAAGCACAGATTCCCACATGGGGAGGGGGAAAGAGTCCCCAAATTCTGTTCATCTTTTTAAAGCTGATCACAACCCACTGAATTGATTTCATAAACCCACTGGTGACTCACACATCACAGTCTGAAAAACCGCATAAATACCAGACAGGTAGCAGTAGAAGCTTTACCTGGAGTTCAGGCTGCCAGTCCTGGCTGCCTCCCCTTCCCCTCACACCTGCACCCTGAACTGACTTTGACTTGGCAGACAAGCTGCCCTACAGCTGAGCAGCCCCTTTGTGGCCTAGTGTGAGTGCTGTCTTCTCTGCGGCTCCCTCCTTCCCTCTGAAGGAGATTCATTCATCATTCATCAGGCCCTGACAATGCACCAGGCCCCGTACCCCAATCTTCCTGCAACCTCACAGCCCTGAGAAGAAGGTATCTTTCTTCCCATTTCTCAGATGACAAGCCTGAGGCTAACAAAGGTAAAGTGCCTATGGAGTAAGAATAAATAGGCCCAGCCAGAGTGGCTGAGTTGTTGAGCCCTGATTTATGAACCCAGAGCTCACATGTTCAATTCCTGGCCCGGGTTGATGATTCTATTCCTCCCCCTTCTCTCTAAAAATCAATAAACACACACACACACACACACACACACACATATATAATTTAAAATAATACATAGGACTGGTTTTCCTTTGGATTTGGAGTGTGAATTAAGCAAGGGCATTGGCCTTCCAGAAAATGCTGAGGAAATGCTGAATAGGGTTAACAGGTGGCTCTGGAAGAGAAAGTGCTGGAGACACAGAAAAACAGAAATGAAAATGGACAGGGTGGAAGTGCCTGGCCAGATGGCATCGGGCATCAGCAGGAACAGCCGTGTGGGAAACTGTTTATTGCCTTCACTATCTGATAAGTGTAGACAGAAACCCACCCATCCCCCCCCCCAAGGCTGGGTGCCTTTGAAGCCCTAGCAAAGGTCGAAGCTAGGCGCCACCTCTGTTTGTCCAGACAGTGGTAGCTGAAACTACTCCCCTATTTATTATTATGTAAATCCTTGCTGATGGGCTAGTCTGCCTGTTAATGGGGGGTCGCCTGCCTAAGGGCTATGCTATGGGTGCATCCCAGATCAATAAAAGCTTGGTGAGGCCTGAGCACGAGAGGAAGTCCTTCCCCTTGAGTTGGACTTGCTCGGCTGGTCCCCCAATATTTACAATTATCTCTTGTCTTTTCATATTCATTTGTGTGCGGCTCTGCTTCCAGTTCCTGAACGCTAATCCACGCGGGACGTGGAAGGAAACGCTCAACACAGCTGCACCAAGGGATGCTAACCTCAGGAGAGCCAGGGGGGCTGGGGGTCCCCCTGTCGATCACCCCTGTTGGCTCCAGTCCTAGGTGGGAACAGAGGCTAAAGCAAGAGGTCAGATAAGGTGGAGAAGGCCATGCTGCCAGGCCCTCACCTAGTCTTCTTAAAGACCTGGCTTAATAAAGCCCCTTGTTCACCCTGCGATGAACAAGGGGCTTTATTAAGTAGAATCTGGCTGACATGGCTGCTGGTGGGCAGGGGATGTGCACCTACCCCAAATATTCCCTCACCTCATCCCAGAAGAAGGCCCCTGGGCAGCTGTGGCTGTAGCCCCGCCCACCTGGGGAGTGAGGGAGTGGACCTGCCAGTTGGACAGAGGAAAAATAATTTTGTGATCAAAATGAATTGGGAGGAAAAAGCATGGCAATGACTTTGGAAGGCAAAATGGGGCTATGTACGTGGTGGGGAAAAGGGTATTTTGTGGTGGGAAGATTTGATGAGGATCCCTGCTGTCTGTTCACGGAACAGATCATCAGAGTACCTATGATGCACCAAGCCCTGAGGTAAGCAACGGAGAGACAGATGGAACCCCAGAAGCCGACAGTATAGTGAGGGGTAAAGAAACAGTAAGAACAGAGTACCAAGTGAGTTGACTGGCAGAGGCACAGGGGCTGTGGAGGCTCAGGGAAGGGTCTCCAGAGACGATGCTTAATCTGGTATCTGGAAGCCTTTTCTCAGGTGGAGGGAGAGTAGAGGGAAAAGCCTCCCAGTTATAGGGACCAGCAATACGAAGTACAGATGATGCAGGCGTTCTGAGGTCTGGGGACCAGAGGATCCATGACCCACGGTGGGTTCTCGGCTTCCTGCGGGGAAGAATTCAAATGCCAGCATCGTTTAAAGTGAGAGTGATTTTATCAGTGAAGCAGTGAGACCGAGAATGGGCTATTCCACCAAGAGAGCAGCTTCTTTAGCGGAATTTGCTGCCTTTATTGAGATGCATTTAATCTGGGGTGTAGGGAATTCAATAAGGGACAGGAATATTCAAGATCTTCTGGGGAACAGGGTGGAGATTTCTCTGGGGAGCTCAGTCAGCCATTCCCTGCCCTTATATGGGCTTTCTCTTTCCAAGCATGATGGTGTGGTGTGTCATTTAGCATGTAATGAGCATATAATGAGGCTAGGGGTTACCACCAGGTGAAATTAGTTGCCGTGTTGGATCAAGCTGGTCTTTGCTGGTTGTAAGCCACAAATTCGGTGTGAGGGTGCTCTTCCTCCCTCCTCACAGCTCCTGTAGTTTTTACTGATTGCAGCTGTTCCGCCACATACCCCATCTCACAGGGAGGGGAGAGACATTTACAAGAACTCTGCAACTGCGATTTCCACTGGCTGGAGTGTAGGCTGAATGGAGGTGTGAGATGGACCTGCTTCGTGACCTTGGACAAGTCATGGCACCTCTCTGACTGCACTCCACTCCCTTAGATATCCAAAGATAGGCACTTACTGATTGCAGCTGTTCCGCCACATACCCCATCTCACAGGGAGGGGAGAGACATTTACAAGAACTCTGCAACTGCGATTCCCACTGGCTGGAGTGTAGGCTGAATGGAGGTGTGAGATGGACCTGCTTCATGACCTTGGACAAGTCATGGCACCTCTCTGACTGCACTCCACTCCCTTAGATATCCAAAGATAGGCAGCTTAAGGAGCATCTACTAAACATCCCCTGGGAGTGAGGCACTGTATCAGGTTGGTGCTGGGCATATGGAGTCAGATGAAAGCTACAAATCCCTACTTTTTAGGAAGCATATGGTCTAGTGAAGAGACAGTCACTGCAATGTGTTCTGTGAGAGTTATGAACAAAGCACTCGAGAGAAGGAAGCAATTAATGCTGCTCAAAGAAGAGGGGGTGAGTAGTCTAGGTGTTCAACCAAGTGGAGAGAGAGAAAAACATTTCAAATGAAGCAGAGGTGAGGAGAAGAACACACTGATGTATTCACAGAACCATAAGGGGCCAGGAGTGCTTGTACAGGGTGCAGAGGAGCCAAGAGGTGGTTGTGACCCCAGCCTGGGACACACAGATGCCTAGACCCCTACTGTCAGACAGGGAGGGACTGACGTTCCTCTGCCCTCCAGGTTCTTGTAGCTGGTCTAATAGTCAGATAGACACAAGGCAGATTGGCAAGATAAAATAACCAGGTTTCTTTTCATACATATGTATGAGAGCCCTGCATACAGCAGTCAGAGATCCCCGCGTGCAGGGGAGGTTCAGAGATAGAAAGAGAACCGGGTACAGAAGACATTCTGAGCTAGGGATGAGGAAAGGTGCCTTGGGGGCACCACAGGATCGTTGCAAAATGATAACAACAGCCGTTTAGTAAATAGAAGTTTGCTGTGTCACGTATAGCAGCGGGCGCCAACCTTTCGGACCTCACGGACCACCAGTGGTTGGCTGATTAAACATCTACATCACCGATGTAGATGAACTGGAAAAGATGATCGCTGCCCTAGAGTGTGGTCCTGGGTTCGATTGCAGCCGAGGGCATGTACCTTAGTTGCAGGACAAGTGCGGGAGGCAACTGATCAGTGTGTGTCTCTCTCACATCGATGTTTCTATCTCTCCCCCTCACTTCCACTCGTTAAAAATCAATGGGAAAATACCCTCAGGTGAGGATGAACAACAACAACAAATTATCGCTGATAATCTCTTATTATGGGCAAGGCCCCTAGTTCAATCTCTTCTAGATAGTTCAAGGTAGACGCAGATGTTTCTCTTGAGCCTGAGAAACTGCCCTCATCTCAAAACAACCCACATCCCACAGGAGCACATCTGAGATGACAAGCTCTGAACTCGCAGCCTGAAGAGCCTTTGCCTGGGGCCTCAAAGGCAGGCCCTCCAAGAATCCACACCGTCTGATGCACGAGAAGCCCAGCCCTCCATGCCACATATTGGGAAACTAAAGCCCGCGGGGCACACGAACTCACTCAGTTGCGTGGTACAGAAAAGGGCAAAAGCGGCCTCCTGACGCCCAGTCTTATGCCTCTTAACGAACACTACAGCTTGCAGGAGCTGAGCTCCCTCATTTGTAAAAACGGACGGAAAGAACCTCCAGCACCTCTAGGAGTTTGGGGAAAACAAGGAATGAGGCAGAAGGATGAGCAGTGGTGGCTGAGCTTAAAGCAGACCGAGTTTGCAAACTCGAGTCACACCTCCCTTCCTCCCTCCTCTCCCAACAGTACCTCCCTCGCGTTCCCGCCTCCTTGCACCTCCTCTTCCGGACCCTCCTCTTGGACCCGCCCGCCTTTTCCGGTCCCGCCCCCGAGAGCCACCGCCTTTCCGGTCCCTCCCCTAGGACCCGCCCTTCCTTTTCCGGCCTCTTCCCCAATCTCCAGAGCTCCTCCTTTCCGGTCCCTACATGAGGCTCCGCCCCTTTAGCTGTCACTTTTCCCGCCATCCCCATTGGCCGAAATCCGAGCCGCACCTTCCAGTTGTGCTGAGACGTGCCCCTGGGGAGAGCCGGGGTCCCTGGTGGGGTCGGATTTCCCCAATTCCGTCAACACATGCGTCCCTTCTTTTTTAGTTACCCCCCATACTCCTGTTTCTGTACCTTTTAGTTCCTCCGTGAATTGTGGTTTCTCTTTCCTGTTTTTTTTTACAACCCCCACCCTTTTCCCTTAACTTCCCACTAAAACACTTATTAAAAGGGATTGATAGCGTAAGGACTTTGCAGACGGCCTAGGGTTCCCATGTTGACTCTTATGTAAGAATAGTTGGGTTACCTTGGGCGTGCCACAACGGAGCCTCCGCTTTCCTATCTGTAATACCGGCAATACTATATGTAGAAACTTTCTCAAAAGTTGGTCTGGGAGGACAATCATGGATATAAGGCACGTGGCCCTTAGCAGTAAATACTGTGTTTTTTCCCCCGCCGATTCTTCTGTTGTAATAACACCGATACCCTGATTTCTTTTTGGTTGTCAACCCAATTTTCCTGTCCTGGTTTGCAATTCCTTCTTCCCTTTGATCCTCATTCTTCACTCACCTCCACTCCGGAAAGCTTATATAATTCCTGGCATTTTGCTCCCAGCCCTGAATCCTGAGCCCCCCGGTCCTCCTACATACCTTGCTCGGGTTCTCTGCCACAGCTCTTCCTGCCTCTCCCCCTCACAGATGGCTCAGCGACTTCTCCTGAGGAGGTTCCTGGCCTCCGGCATCTCCAGGAAACCCCCTCAAGGTCGGTGGGCACCCCTCATCTCCAGGGCGCTGCAGGCCCCACAACTCAGTCCTGGTGAGCTGACAGTAACATCCAGCCAAGCCCGGCCATTACACACCACCAGAGTCTGCACAACAACCTTCAACATCCAGGATGGACCTGACTTTCAAGACCGAGTTGTCAACAGTGAGACACCCGTGGTGGTGGATTTTCATGCACAGTGAGTCCTGGGGCCCAGGAGAAGACTGGGGTGTCGCTTGTTCAGATAATTTTGAGTGCCAGCTACGTCTCAGTGCCACGTTTGATGCTTCTCATACATAGATTCGCAGCAAATACTGGGAAGACCCAATCCGTGCTCTCAGTGATTGAGTGTCGTCTGGTAGGAGACAGACCAGGAAACAGTCTTGAAAGCTCACTGTGATTAGTGCTGGGAACCACCTGTGTTCTGTATTCACTGCCCAAATGGCTCAGCGTCATGTTCAGCTGGGACCAAAGCAGGGAAACTATAACTAGAGCATCGTCTGGCTTTGGGTGTATACCAGTTCCTGGGCCTGCAAATAAGTTTATTTTATTTTTAACATTTTGCCACCCAAACTGGGACGGGATAGCTAAAAGTTTTCAGTGCCACCACCGTAGTGCCCACGTGTGCAGGGAATGGTCAGGAGTTTCTTTTCTGGGCGGTGTGAGTTTGTTTTCAGCATGTTTTAGTGCCTATGGCCTACTGCCTTTTAGCATGGCCTTCTTCCCTTCTAGACTTTTGGGGCCTGGCTACAAAAAAACTGGACTAACGCCTCAATGAGATGTTCTAGATGGAACCAGTGTAGCCTGAGTTACAAGTTGGGAGGCTTTCTGCACAGATCTCTGACAGATTCTTTTGCTTTTTTTCCTGTTTTCTCTGACTCACGATGTCACCCCGGGAAGGCCATCTGATGCCCTTGTACTTCCCTTTCTTCGCTTGTCATAGGAGACAAGGTCTTGCAGACTGGGTTTTGAGGTGTTGAAATCTCTGAATGGAAAGGGTTTTAAAGGCTGAAAATGAAGTAGGAGTCAACAGCCAGGGATTCATGGAAGGCAGAGCTGTTCTGCCCTCCTGGTATAGTGAGCGCTCCAGAGAGGGCTTCCAAAGTGAATGACAGCCTGGCTGGTATGCCTCTGTGGTTAGAGTGTTGGCCCTCGCACCGAAGGGTCTCGGGTTCGATTCCCAATCAAGGTTACATACTTGGGTTGCAGGTTTGACCCCCGGCACCAGCCGGGGCACATGCGGGAGGCAACAGATCTCTCCCTCCCTCTTTCCCTTCCACTCTCTAAAAATCAATGTGAAATGAATGATAAATGGGGTGATACCTGTGGGGAAGCACGGGACTTGGTTGGAAGGTCTGTAAGGAGGATTCTCTGAAAGGTCGGGGGCATCTGGGGGGACCTTGCTGAAGGCGGCAGCCCCTGCCTGACTTTCCCAAACAAGTCCCGTGCTTCCCCACAATAGTTCATTTTCTTGTCCAACAAGGAAGCAGGGTGTGAGTTTGTTCATTCAGTGCCAGGCACTGTCCTTAGTGCCACATACCTGGGGATGACAACCTGTTCTTGAAAGCTCACCACCTAGAAACACAGTGTTCAGTGCAGCGATAGCCACTGACACGGGGCCTGGGGATCACTGAGGAGCCAGGGCTAAAAGAAGACACTTGGAACACAACCTTGGGTTGCAATCTCCGCTGTGCCTCTTACTAGCTGTGACCTTGCTAGTTTCTTACCTTGCACGGGCCTCCATTTCTCAGTTTTCTTTTCCTTTGCGGGGTGGAGGGTTCTGTGTAGGGAAAGCTGAGCCGGTCCTGGCACAGCGACTGACATGTTGTAGACACCGCCCAGCCATTGGTTTCTCCTCCTTTTAGTTCTGAGTCAGTGAAGTCTTCGAAGTCATCCTACAGCTTACAGAGCATGCTTGCCCGTGTTGCCTTCGCTGACTTCTCATCACAGCCCTGAGAGTAGTCTCTTTTTCACATGAGGAAACCGGGCCCCAGAACCATCAGCTGGTTGGCGAGGAGCCTCTCTTTGAACCCAAACCTTTTAACCTCAAGTCCTGTGTTTTTCTACAGGACAGCACATTTCTTTTAGCTCTGTCGAAGTAAGTGAAATAACCTTTATAAGAGTCTCAGGATGAGACCCAGTTACCGAGTCTCCTGGCATTGCCATTTGGCATAGCAGCATTACAGGTTAATATTCAAACACTATAAACAGAGGTAATAAGGGCAAAAGGTCCCTCGGAAAGATGTGGGTCAAGGGCATGTTGTGGGGAGCCCGTAGGTCAGTTGGTGAGTGCTTTTGTGACGGGGTGCTTCCTTTCTCCCCTTCCCAGGTGGTGTGGCCCCTGCAAGATCCTGGGGCCAAGGTTAGAGAAGGTGGTGGCCAAGCATCATGGAAAGGTGGTGATGGCCAAGGTGGATATTGACGACCACACAGACCTCGCCATAGAGTATGAGGTATGGATGGGCAGGGGATTGCCACAGGGCGGTTGGTTTGGGGCAGTGGTCAGCAAACTGAGGCTCGCGAGGCACATGCGACTCTTTGGCTCCTTGAGTGTGGCTCTTCCACAAAATACCGACTTCTGCGCATGGGCCACGAAATTTCAATCACACTGTACATGCGCGCCCGCACGTGGTATTTTGTGAAAGAGCCACACTCAAGGGGCCAAAGAGCCGCAGTTTGCCGACCACTGGTTTGGGCTGCTTGGGGCCACGGGATGGCTGGTGCAGGAGATGGATGTCTTGGAGACCAGTAAGGGGAGGTGTTCTGATTTTCCTAGAGCTCTCAGTGACTCAGAGCACTTTGCAAAGGTGACTCCATTGAACCTCTCAGCCACATGTCTCTCTTTGCCACCTTTAGAAAGTAGAATGCACGACCAGGCGGTCCTCTGCATTCCGGGACGTTGATGCATTCCTTTGAACCCGAATTCATTCATCCACAGGTTCAGTCAGCAGTCGTTTGAGAGCCCTACAGTGTGCCAGGCATTCAGGCTCTGGCACAGATGAGCTCCTTGAACAAGCAGACAGGTCATTTTCATGTAGGATGAGAAAAGACATGCACAAAAGAAGGGACTGATTGTATCTGGAGCGGGGTGGGGGGGTATCCCGAGGGCGGGACAAGGAAGGCATCATATTAGAGGGACTCTGAGCAGAGCCATGAAGGATGCATGGTGAAGAAGGAAGGGCCAAGAGCAGGGCATACACAAGGACATGAAGTAGTCTGATTTAGAGTCCCTTAAGTGCCAGGTGCTGTTACTTGGTGCTGTCCAAATGGCAGTGAACAAAACTGACAAAATCCTGTCTTCATGGAGCCTACATTCTGGTATTTTAGGTTAGGGTTAGCCAACTTTCTCTAAGGGACCAGGGGGCACATATTTGAAGATTCATAGGGCATTGGTCTCTATTGCAAATACTCAACTGTCATTGTAGCACTGAAGGGGCCATAGACAGTATATAAACAAATAAGCATGGTTGTGTGCAAATAAAACTTTATTTACAAAAACAGGAAGCCGGCCCTGACCGGTTTGGCTTAGTGGATAGAGCGTTGGCCTGCGAACTGAAAGGTCCCAGGTTCGATTCCGGTCAAGGGCATATACCTTGGTTGTGGGCACATCCCCAGTAGGAGGTGTGCAGGAGGCAGCTGATCGATGTTTCTCTCTCATCGATGTTTCTAACTCTCTATCCCTCTCCCTTCCTCTCTGTAAAAAAAAACAATAAAATATATATATTTTTTAAAAAAACAAACAAACAGGAAGCCATCTGGCTTTGTCTGTGGGCAGTAGTTCCCTGATCGTATTGTAGATAATAAATGCTATTGAGAAAAATAAATCAGGGAGAGGGGGGTGAGAGTGCTGAGCCTGGGGCTGGGGAGGGTTTCCTTTTCAAAAGGGTGGGCTAGGGAAGGTCTCAGGGAGAAGTCCACATCTAAGACCTGGAGGCAGCTATTGAAGAGCAGTCTGGGCAGAGCAGACTTCAAATGCAAAGGCCCTGAGGTCAGGGTCTCACAGGTTTGCTCCCAGAATAGCAGGGCCTGTGTGCCTGCAGCAGAGCTTGCTTAAAATCCCAAACCAGATGTTGGTATTTAAAACTCAGAAGATTTCACGTGAATATCCAGGTTTCTGTTTCTCTGGAAATACCTGGATCTGGCTGGAATGAATCCCCTCCCCTCCCTCCTTCAGATAACAAGTGACTGAAAGAGGGGGCCTCCTCCTCAGAGTTTGGAAGTTCAGGATCAACTCTTCCTAGACCAGGTCAGGCAGAGAAGCGCATCCTCCAGCCCAGCGGTTCTCAACCTGTGGGTCGCGACCCCTTTGGGGGTCAAACGACCCTTTCACAGCAGTCACCTAAGACCATCAGAAAACACATATATAATTACATATTGTTTTTGTAGTTAATCACTATGCTTTAATTATGTTCAATTTGTAATAATGAAATTGGGGGTCACCACAACATGAGGAACTGTATTAAAGGGTCACGGCATTAGGAAGGTTGAGAACCACTGCTCCAGCCTGTCCTAGAGCAGGAAGTGCAGGTGGAGGGTGGAGCCCGTTGAGCTGGGACTGAGGGATCACCTGAGGGAGAATCAGGCTGCCCGGTGCTGGGCAGGCAAAGCCGTTACTAACTGCTGCAGGTGGCGGGGATGTTACCCAGGTAGACCATCTGTTACCTGGGAGAGAGGAGCCTCAGTTCTCCTCTTCTTGAGGGAAAGATTTCCATCAAGAGACAAAGTGTAGAAAAGTAAGCAAGAGTTTACTGACCACAGCAAAAGCACATTTAGGACATGGAAACAGGACCATTGCTCTCCCAACTGCCAGGCTCATGGGGTCCCTTAGAGGTCAGGGGACATGTGCCTGAGGGGGGAGGGACCTTCATTTTCAGGGGTTTTAAAGTCTGGATGTTTAGGGGAGGTCTTAGGGGCAGGTCAGTAGAATATTCACCAGCTTTATGCTGATTACCAAAATTAGATTTTTTCTCTTAATTTGTCTGTCCTTGGGTGTGGTTGGCAAATGGCACTTAATTGGATTTCTGTTATCTGTATCCCTGTGTAGGGTGATTTAAGCTATTTACTCTCTGGTTGGGAAGAAGTGCAAACCTTTTACTCTTCTTTTTTAAAAAAATATATTTTATTGATTTCAGAGAGAGAGGGAGAGAGAGAGAAACATCAATGATGAGAGAGAATCATTGATCAGCTGCTTCCTGCACACCCCACACTGGGGATCAAGCCTGCAACCCGGGCATATGCCCTGACCAGGAATCAAACTGAAACCTCCTGGCTCATAGATCGATGCTCAACCACCGAGCTGCGCTGGTTGGGCAAAACCATTTACTCTTAAGTGTCCTTGGTTTAGGGAAAATAGGATTTACGAGGTGGCTATAAGTGCTGTTTAACTATCTGCCTTAATTTCCCTATTCCGCTTGTCCCAGAATTTTCCTAGCCTTTTACTATTCTAGAACACCCATGGCACTGTGGCAGCCGCTTACAAGAGCTTGGGCGGGGGAATGAGTTGCTGTATTTTTCAAAAGCTCTCCCACTGATCACTCAGTCAAAGGAGCACTTGTCTGACCATTCAGATGCCCCTAGCTTTCCCTACTTGCCCTCCGTCCCCCGGAGGCCCACAGCAGCTTGGAGAGTGAGGGTGTGGCCTTCTGGTGTGAGCTTAGGGCTGGAGCTCCTGGGCATCCCCAGGGCGATGGGCAGGCTTAAAGTCTTATGCTCCCTCTGGCACTGCCCGACACCACAGCTTCAGGCTCAGCCAGTGGAACCTCAGCAGACACAACCATGTGCCAGGAACTGTGGTAACAGTGCAGATGAAAAGAAGAGTAACCCAGTCCTTGCCAATGGTGGTCACACTGGTCGTGAGAGCTCCCAGGCCACCCCACCTGCATTCCAGGGGACCTGGTGATGTAGGGCTGGGCACCAAGGTCCTGTGTTAAGCCTAGAAAGGGGCAGGGGGGGGGGAACACACAACTCTTATGAGATAAGATCTCTCTCCTCCTCTCACTGTCCAGATAGTATGTGCGGGTCACGAAGAAAGACCCCAAGGCTGCTGGGCCTAGTCAGCTGAGCCCAACCTCCTTGTTTTGCCAAGCCCTGGGCAGATGTCACTGCAGGCTAGGAAGCTCCAACAGGAATGCTGACACACACCGGCCCCCCCCCCGCCCTTCCTTCCTTCCTTCCTTCCTTCACACCTGTCCTTTTGGAAGAGAGCCTGAGGAAGCCGTGGCAGCTAAGAAATCCGAAGTACCTCCTGTGATAGCTTCCTCCAAGGCCTGGAGTGCTTTTCCAAATGTTGGATAACATGTTGGAGAAACTGCTTAAAAGTATATGCATGGAATTAGGCACATCTTCCCCAGCCCTCCTGACAGCCCCCATGCCCAGCACACCCTCATGGGTCTCTTTCCTCACACAAATGCCCCTCCCCTCACATCCCACTTTTTTTTTTATTTTTATTTTTTATGTTTTTGTTGATTTTTAGAGAGAGGAGAAGGGTGAGGGATAGAGAGATAGAAACATCAATGAAAGAAACATCATGGATGGGCTGTCTCCTGCATGCCCCCTACTGGGGATCAAGCCCAACCTGGGCATGTGCCCTGACCGGGAATCAAACCAGCGACCTCTTGGTTCTTGGGTTGACGCTGATCCACTGAGCCACACCAGCCAGGCTCACATCCTACTTCTTATGCTTGGAGTTTCACCCTTTTATCTCCTAATCTTACAGAGTGCCCTTCAAAAAGCATTAGGAAAACAGCCAAGTAATGCTAAGGGGGAAAGTCACCTGTAATCTTACCATCCAAACACAGCCACTGCCAACTTTTAGGGTCTCTCGTTTGGATTTTTTTATGTTCCATATAACTTCATAGACAGTCCATAGCTGGAATGTACTATATACTTCAGTCACTGCCATATCCCCTGTTTTGAACGTCTTCTAAGTCAGTGCTTCTCAAACATGAATATGACCTGGGATGTTGAAAAGCAGACTGATTCAGTAGGTCCAGGTAGGGCCCAAGATTCTGCATTTCTAACAAGCTTCCCGGTGATGCCACTGGGAGTCTGGGACCAAGTATCGAGGAGCAAAGTTCCTGGCTGATGTGGCTCAGTGGTTGCGATCGACCTATTAAAAATTTACCCAATCCACCCGGAGGCCACAGTTCAATTCCCGGCGGGGAGAAGAGGGGGCGTGCAGGAGGCAGCCGATCAATGATTCTCTCTCATATTGATGTTTCTGTCTCTCCTCTCCCTTCCTCTCTGAACTCAATAAAAATATATTTTAGGAAAAAAGTTAAAGCCCTGGGCTGGCCGTGGGCCATGATACTCTTACAAAGGCCCTTCTCACCTGTCAGCGAGAGGGTTCCCTCCTGGTGGTTTGGAAAAAATTTTCATGACATGTGTCCACAATTACAGCATCATACAGAACAGTTTCAGAACCCTAAAATGCTCTGTGCTCCCCTTTTCTCCCTCCTCCCCGTGAACCCCTGGCAACCACTGACCTTTTTACTGTCTCCACAGTGTTGCCTTTTCCAGAAGGTCATAGAGCTGGATTTGATTTTTTTCAATAGTAGTTTCCCCAGGAATCTTCCTGTATCTAAAAGCTTTTACAAAGCACTTGGCTTTTCTCCTTTGAAGCCTGGCATCCTTTCAACGCTTCTCTGCTTGTGCTTCCTAGCCCTGCGGGGACTTGGTATTTACCTCCAATTCCTCGTTCTTGGGCAGAGGTACCGGGTAATTTGATCACCGCTTCACGGACAGCCAAGTCAAATCCCAGCTCCACCCCTTGTCGCTCAATCTGTGTGCCTCAGTCTTCTCGTCTTGAAAATGACCCCAACTTGAGGCAAGAATTTATGAGATCACACACACAAGTGGTAAAAAGCGCCCGATATGTGGCAGCCAGGGTGACAGTCATCTCTCCCTTTGCATTAGTTCTGCAATTAGCTAGGAGGAGGTCGCCAGTCCCTTGCAAAGCCTAGCACTGTGCCTGTCCCTTGGTAGATCCTTAACAGTTGGAGGAAACTGGGGTGAGACGGCTTTCAGGGACATGAGCTCCAGGAGAATGTGCCCGGGACCTATGTGCACTTCCCTGAGGCCGTGTTTATAAGCACCAGCCCCCTCCGGATTTGTGAGCCAAACTCAGGATCAGCAAAGCCATATCCTCCTCCTTGGGGGTGAGGGGAGCGCATTCACAGCCCCGGTACCCCTGCAGCGTTGGGAAAATCCAGGCTCTGGCATGCCCATGGCTCTGTGTATAAGTATAAGTTTATGTGTATATGTATAAGTTTAAACTTCAAAGGACGCCCTTGATCAGTAATGACAGGCCTTGGTTGTCATGAAAATACAGTCATGGCGTGTATGCTGTACACCCAGCGGCTGCGCGATCTGTATGTGCGAGCACATGTGTGGCTACACGTGCCATCGTGACAGGACTTACCTGAAGTTCTTGAGGACAACAAGACCACTTCAGTCCTGCTTAGAGGACACGCAGAAACAATTCGGTCACTTCACATGCAATGACATACAGCTTTTGTTTCTATGAAGAAACAGAGGACAAAGCCCTGGCCAGCCAGGTAGCTCAGACAAACAAAAAACACTGATAATTAAAAAAAGAGAGAGGACAGGGTGGGATCCAGCAAGGGCCAAGTGAAAGTTAGTGCTTAAAAAGTTGCCAGATTTGAGGCCGCTCCCTTCACAGACCACTAGAGGGTGCAAAAGAACAAAGCACCAGCCCTGTGATCTTACCATCAAACCATGTGCCTCAGTGGCCCCTGGTGCATCCTGGAGCTTGCTTTTCTGGGCCCTGCCCATGTCTGGAGACAGGGCACGCCACATGCTGGACCCTTGCACTTCATGCCATCACCCAGGCCAGAGTCAAGAGTGACAAGGACAGGAACTAGTGACATGTGGTCTGCCCACACATGCCACCCACATCAGCCCCCGGCTGGTCCTTAAAGGGCCCTGAAGACACTAGCCAAGACAGGGACCGTGTCATCTTACCTGCTGCGTTTGTCCCCAAAGGCCATTAGGAGAGGGTGCCAGGCCTGCCCCATGAGGTCTGTGAGTGGCCTGCGGTTCTTTGTAACTGACATACGTACAGCTGAACATTGTAAATGCTAAGACTGGCTCCTAAGGATGACTCATGGGCAGGACAGCACCCGGGATAAGTGAAGACCTGGTATGTTTGTCTAAATCACTGCTGTAGTTAACTTTGTGGAAGATAAGTCAGTGTTTATCTTGTTGTGTTTATATATTTTTTTCCAAATGGCCACCAGTGGCAGGCAGGGAGCCCAGGGAACAGAAAATGCTCATTACAGTCAGCAAATCGTGTTACAGAGCATCATGGGCCTTATTTACATACCATGTCATCTATGCAGGTCCCCTGAGGGAGCTTGAGAGGACGCCTCATAGGCCAAGAATGCTGCCGCCAACCCCCATACTAAAGAAACGCCAGACCATATATTGCTGAGCCCTCTTCCCACACTGTCCAGTTCCAGTTGGTGACTTTCTGGACCCTTTTAACCATCAGGGCGTTGAGCTGAAGTGGTTCTCATGGGGCCCTGGGGTAGACTGTCCTGCCCTGCCCTAGGCAGCCACCATATGCTCAGTGCCCACTGTGTACCAGGCACCGTGCCAGGTTCTAACACTGCTGGCGGCCCTGCCAGGTGCAGGGCACTGTGCTGAGAATCTGCGTGCATTATTTCATTCAGCCCCCACAGCCTCTAATATGAGTCCCGTTAGTGTCTCCGGTTTGCCGATGATAATACTGATACATAAGAATGACAAAGTGGCCGAAACTGGTTTGGCTCAGTGGATAGAGCGTCGGCCTGCGGACTGAGGGGTCCCGGGTTCGATTCCGGTCAAGGGCATGTACCTGGGTTGCGGGCACATCCCCAGTGGGAGATGTGCAGGAGGCAGCTGATCGATGTTTCTCTCTCATCGATGTTTCTAACTCTCTATCTCTCTCCCTTCCTCTCTGTAAAAAATCAATAAAATATATTATAAAAAAAAGAAAGTAATGAAGATTAAAGGAGGTGATAAGGGTCATAAGGCCCTAATCTGAAGTGGTTCTCATGGGGCCCTGGGGTAGACTGTCCTGCCCTGCCCTAGGCAGCCACCATATGCTCAGTGCCCACTGTGTACCAGGCACCGTGCCAGGTTCTAACACTGCTGGCGGCCCTGCCAGTTGCAGGGCACTGTGCTGAGAATCTGCATGCATTATTTCATTCACCCACAGCCTCTAATATGAGTCCCATTAGTGTCTCCGGTTTGCCGATGATAACACTGATACATAAGAGTGACAAAGTGGCTTGCCCAGAGTGGCTCACGATGGGCTCAGCCAGCGTCGGAGCCCAAACTCCTAACCACTCAGCTCTGTATGTGAACCTTTAGTCCTTAACCCACACCGACAACTAGATGCTACCTCCCCTGTTTGATGGAAGAGGAAGGACCCTGAGCTCCAGAGGAGTGTGACCTGGCGGGGCCCCCAGCCAGTGAGCGCAAAGCCAGGTTCAGACCCCATCTCCTGGTCTCCCCTATCCCAGGCTGCCCCCCCGGGAGAGTTCTCTTAGCCCCTCAGCTCTGCCCCGCCCCAGCCGGGCCTGCAGCTGCATGGGTTATTTTAATCTCCTGTCATTCCAGCCAAACCACTGGGCCAGTGAGTCAGTCATGCGGTTGGGGGAGGAAGGGTACTTCTGGGAGCCCACAATGGAAAAGCTTCTCCAGGGGGGGACCTCCAGCCCTGCAGTCCCCCTGCACCAAGGGAAGGGGCCCGCCCAGGGCTGGGGCAGTCACTGCCCTGCATGAGCCACCAGCCTTCCCCACAGAGGCCTGGGGATGGCGACTGAACAGTTCACGTCACCTCTGAATGACTTGGCCTCCCTTGTCCCCTCCGTCTAGGTGTCGGCTGTGCCCACCGTGCTGGCCATCAAGAATGGGGACGTGGTGGACAAGTTTGTGGGCATCAAGGATGAGGATCAGCTGGAGGCTTTCATGAAGAAGCTGATTGCCTGACAAGCAGGAAAGAACCCTGATGCTCTTGCCCGCTGGGACCCCGTGGTCCTGGGAGGACCCTGATAGAACTCAGTCCTGTGCAGGCCCTTCCCGCCTCCTCCCTTCTGTCTGGCCCCTGAGGGCCCATGTTTGGAGACCAGGCCTCCAAGCACGGATCCTCCAGTGCTTCCAGCCCGGCTGACTGCCAGGGTGGCCGCCAGGGGAACGGTGCTGCTGCTGAGCTGGGGACAGCGGTCTCCCACACTCTCAGTGTCTGCTCCCTCTAGGGCTGTCGCAGCTCTCCCAAGGTGCTTGGAGAGCCTGGGCCCAGTAACAGTTTGTCCTCGTCTCCCCGGGCCCTTCTGATCCTAACCCCAGTGCCTGGCTCATCTGCCTCCTGCATTTTTCTTTCCTGCTGTTGTTTTGTAAAAAGAAACCCCAACAAGTGAGAGTAATATATAATTCTCTCATTTTTTGTAGGTCTGTAATAAAGAACTTTATGTGATCCTTCTACCTCCTGCTGTGAAGAACAGACCCTGGGCCCCACACTAAATTACTCTGTAGCCACCACCACCCCCCACCCCCAACCCTTGGGCCACCTCCCTTCTTTCCTCCCAGGCACAAGGGCAATGAACACATTGGGCTCAGGGAGTCCTGCAGACTCAGACTCCACCCTCCCTCACCATTAGCAGGCCCTTTGGTTCTCTGAGCAGGAGGCTCTGCTATGAACAAACGAGACCAATAAAATGGAGGTTTGCACTGTCGCCGGCTTCCATCTGTGGCTCTGGGAGCATTTGAGACCCCTTCCCAGCCTGGGCTGCTCTCCCCCTGTCTCTGACTTTCCACCACCCACTTGCCCTTGATCAGCCCTCTCCCTACTAACACTTGTCAGTGATGGCCACTGTTCTAGGGACACCTTCACACACACATTGGCCCCATTATACAGTTGAGGACACTGAGGCTCACAGGCCACAGATCCAAGGTTTCTACCCAGACACATGTTTGCCTCTGAAGCCTGGGCTGTTACAACTGGTCCCCTTGATCCTCTGGGGCCTCCTTCTCTACTGACTGGCACATGGCCACTCCCATGTGACGCCCGGCTCCTGAGGGAGCCCGCCGGCTGTCCATACTGCAGGAACCCCTCAGCCTTGGGGCTGGGCTCTGTTCTCAGCTCCCTGAGGCCCACAGAGGAGGGCCGGGCAGACCAGGCTGCCAGCTGAGGGGCCTGCCTCCATATCCTTCCTAGGTTTGAGCTGCCCCTTGGCTGGGTTGCCCAGATGGGTGCCAGATATCCAGAAGCCATGGGTGCTGGACAGCAGGGTATCCTGGCACCCTCCCCCTAGGTCCTGGGTGCTATGTCCACAGCTGTGTGCACACTTCTCAGTGGCTTGCCTGTTCCCATCGGAGCTACCTGAGTTACTCAGGTCTTTGAGGGGTCTGCCCAGGGACTGCCTTGGGAAGGCTGCTGTGATGATCAGAAGAGCGGGGTTGCCTCAAAAGTGGGGTGTGGGGCCTGTGGCCTCAGAAAGACGGCAGGCCTGGGATCTCAAAGGCCGTGGAGGGGAAACAGACCAGCAACTGGCGATGGTGGAGAAAGAGCCATGTGTCATGAGTGAGAGCACTTCCTGGGTGCCAGGCACTGGTCTGAGCACCTCGCCCCCAGCAGCCGCCCTAGGTGAGCATTACCCTTGTTCCTGTTTACTCATGAGAGCTGCTCTGAGAGTGTGAGGACCTGTCCAAGACCATGAAGCTCACAGGTACCTGGGCTGGGGTTCAAGGCCAGGCAGGCCGGCCCCTCCCCTATCAGCTTATAAAGTGTAGTGTATGTGAGATCTTAATCCCACAACCGGCAGATGAGGCGGGTAGTGACAGCTCGTTTTATGGAAGAGGCACTGATGCCAAGCTTTCAAAGACACCCAGAGAGTAAGGGGCAGGGCCAGAATCCAGGTCCCAGGCACCCTGACTCCCAAGCCCGGGCCCTTCCCACTACACCCACTGCCACTCCTTAAAAGGTGCCCCTTGCCAAGCGATTTCCACACACATTACCTCATTTAATTCCTCTCTTGTGAGGCCAGCATTTCTATGTCACAGGTGAAGAAACTGGTTCAGAGAAATTCACTTGCCCAAGGTCACATCTAGAAAGTGACAGTGCCAAAAAATAATAAGTGACGAAGCCAGGTTTGAGCCCAGGTGGGGGTCTGGCCTCACTGCCCTGGGTAGGTGTGGAGAAGGCCTGGCAGAGGCCTGGCAGGGCCTCAGCTCCCTCTCCTTAAAAGGTGTGCTGGTGCGAGGTGAGCTGGTGGCCATGACCTCCCAGGTTGGCAACTGTGTTGCCCGTAAAGCTGCTCCTGGCCTGAGTCACTGGCCGTGAGCACACAATCCTCAGGGAGATCCCCTTTGACTAATTCCACGGCACTGAACTCACCAGGCGCTGCTGGCTCTGCAGCGTTGCCCCACTGCTGCCCTGTGGGTGCCACCTCGGCTCCTGGGCCTGTGGCAGAGGGGTTGGCAGTGCAGCTGCAGGGCCCGGTGGTCCTGCTGGGGGGCACGGGCACCAGCCTCCTACGCTCTGAAACACAGACACCTGCTGAGCCCAGGAGAAGGGGTCACACACAGGCTCCCCCAGCCGCTGCCGTTCTGGGTGTGGCTTCTGGGTATTTACTGTCCTGATGCCCAGTCTATCCAGTTGGCCTGGGGGCAGGAGGTGGGGACGGGAGCTTGAGTTTGCTGTGCTGGCTCCCTCACTGGTGCTCTCTGCTGTCACCCCCACCGCACCCCTGCCAGGCAGTTCTCCCCACTTCCCAGAGGAGCAGACCGAGCGCAGTGGATGTCTGAGACCCCCTTCAGCTAGGAATGCTCATCATCCGAGAGCGTTAGCCGTTCTCAGAAGCATTTGGATGAATGGCTGGTGGCCACCACCGTGAGTTCCTTCTAAACACGCGGAACACGGGAGAGTGACCAGGCCCTCAAGAAGCTGATGCTCAAGACATCAGAGCAAGAGGCTGCGGGCCACTCCCGGGCCAATGGCAGCGCCGAGGGGAGCTCAGGTACCTTCCAGTCTCCCGCCTAAGGGCGCAGAAAGGGGCGCGCGCCCAGGTCACGGTGTGCGTGTGAAGGGGACTTGGAGCCAGTCCGAGTTCAGCCAGCCCGAAAATGAAAATGAGAGGTGAGCGAGGAGGGCCGTCTCTGGGGCCCGGACATGTTCGGGATGTTGACAGACCTGCCGCCAGTCCCTTCCCAGCAGTCGCCACCTCGGCCACCGGCCACCAGGGGAAAGTTTCTCCGGAAAGTGAAGGTAGTTCTGGCCAGGCCTCCGGAAATCCCGAATGTGCAGGCCCGGGGCTGGGAGGGTACAGAGAACAATGCTGGGGCCGTGTCCATGGCTGACAAGGACCCTGGGGGGCAAGCAAGCTTCCAGGCAGCTCTGCAGTTTCTGGCTCCTGCCTGGAGACCTGCCCCTGACCCAGGCCCCAGCGCTGGCTTCCATAGCCCCATCGGAAATCTGGCCACTGTTGTTCCAAGCAGTGTCACCTCTCCAGCCACCTCCTGACAGCCTTTCGGAAGCTGGGGGTCGCCACTGGGCACCCCATAGTTGTGTGCAGGGAGAATCTGACCTGGGTTCAAGTCCTGACTTTGCCACCCACCGGTGGTGTGACCTTGGGCAAGTAGCCTCGCCATCCTGAAGCTCATTGTCACATCAGTGAATGGGGACGATGATGGCTCGCACTGGCCAGACGCGTGTTATGTGTCATCTCACTGCAATTTCACAATAGGCAGCGACGATTATTATCACCATTTTACAGACGAGGAAACTGAGGCCCAGGGAGCTGAAGTCAGTCGGCATTGACAGGTGTTGGAGCTCAGGTCAGAACTCAGTTGTGTTTGACCCCATAGCCTTTGTGTTCTTACCCATGAGCTGCACGGCTTTCCCATTGAGGCCAAGATTTTCACCAGTTTGAACTTTAGTCGCACCATCTACAAACAGGTTAATACCAATCATTACCAAATGAGGTCATGGCAAAGAGGGTAGAAGCCTTGTGGTACCTACTAGGAGCTCAAGACGTGTCCATCAGCCTGCATTTCCCTCCCCACGCTTCCCCCTACTCTAAGCTGCGTCTTAAACAGGAAACACCAGGCTTCCCGAGATAAGGACCACAGTACCCACCAGGGAGAGGCCCGTCCTTGTGCCAGGCTGAAGGCCTTACGTGTGGCTCTGTGTCCTGGCCCCGCACCACCCCCTCCTGCTCCAGAGCTGGCTCAGCGGTGCCTGTGACTCAGGCAGCCCCGGGGAGTTAGAGGTGGTGACCTCACCCTCGGAGAATGCCCACTGGAATTCACCCTGAGTCTGGTCGGCCCACTGTTCTCCATGCCTCCCTCCAAGCCAGCCCGCCACACAGAGCTGCTGATGGGAGCACCTCTTATGAGCTAGGTCACCCCTGTTACACAGATGCTAATTATTAATTGGGGGTGAGCCGGTTCCCCACCCTAGGCCAGCTTACTGGGTGACCACAGGCAAGTAGCTGTGTCTCTCTGGTCTGCAGTCCAGCATCCATCCCTTGGTGCCCCACACTGCCCAACGCTCCACCCACATCTAACCCTCCCAACACCCTCTGAAGGTGGCAATTGTTGTTCTCATTTCACACGTGAGGAAACTGAGGCCCAGAGAAGTGGTACGTGCCCAAGATACAGCCTGGGAAAGGGCCTGGACCCATTCCCTCATCCCTTCCCTTTGCCACAATGCTACCCCAAGGACAGTCAAATAATCATTTTCATGCCAAGAGGGGGGACTTTGGCCTCCCTCTTTTACCTGCCTCTCCCACCGAGTCCTGGCAGGAGGCAGGACGTTGCTCAGGATCTACTCCTAAGGCTGGAATGTTCCCTCCAGTCCCAACATGCAACCTCACCTCCTGACCTCAGTCGGCTGGTGTGTGAGGGCCTCTTTGCGGCTGTCTGGTGCTGGAATTAGGAATTCACGCTCAAGGCACTCACAGCAAATACATCGATGCAATCTAACTTAGAAAGGTCACAGTAGAAACAACACTTACCACCAGGAAGAGAAGTACAGAAATGAATGAAGTCCTCAAGAGGAGCAAATCTGTAAGGGCTGTCAGGCGAACCATGGAGAGAAGGTGACCTTCCAGAAGGGTTTTTGTCTTGGGCATGGGGGGTGGGGACAAAGGGAAAAGGGGTCAAATACAGGTGATGGAAGGAGACTAGACTTCAGGGGAGGAGCACACAATAGAGCAGCCGTGGGCAAACTATGGCCCGCGGGCCGGATCCGGCCCGTTTGAAATGAATAAAACTAAAAAAAAAAGACCGTACCCTTTTATGTAATGATGTTTACTTTGAATTTATATTAGTTCACACAAACACTCCATCCATGCTTTTGTTCCGGCCCTCCGGTCCAGTTTAAGAACCCATTGTGGCCCTCGAGTCAAAAAGTTTGCCCACCCCTGCCCTAGACAGTGGTCGGCAAACTCATTTGTCAACAGAGCCAAATATCAACAGTACAACGACTGAAATTTCTTTTGAGAGCCAAATTTTTTAAACTTAAACTATATAGGTAGGTGCATTGTTATTAACTTAATTAGGGTGCTTCTAAGGCTTAGGAAGAGCCACACTCAAGGGGCCAAAGAGCCGCATGTGGCTCACGAGCCGCAGTTTGCCGACCACGGCCCTAGGAGATAGGTCCTTATCAGCTCTGGTTTTGGGATAAGGAAATCGAGACACAGAGGACTTTAGTTTGGGCCTCAGTTCACACAGC